AGAGCGTATCCCAATTTCCTCGCGAGCCCTGTTTTACGTATGAGTCCATGCTGTCTGGAGCTAGTGCAAAAGCGAGATGCGCCCTATCCCACTCGAAATCCCATTTAATCCCACTCGTGGTGGAGCTGGTCTGCCATTTTGGAAAAAAGTATGGTCATCTGAACCGACCCTGGAAAAAAGTCTTGGGTCTAGAGTCCAGGCTCCTAAAAAAATTGATCAGAAAAAATAATCCTGATCCAATCAGGTTTTGCTTGAATCGAGAGCTAAGACTCTCAACTTAAGCGGATTTTCCTTTCGTTTCAGGCAAAAATCCGATTGCATCAAGAATACTTTTTCTTGTTAAATGTTTTAAGAGTCTGGGAATTCGTTCGATATCTCTATGTTTGCCGACACCCTTTACAGGTCCATCTCAATTGAACGGCAATCCGAATTAGAGGAAAATTGACCTTTTGTGTGGTGGGCTATTAACCAACCCCATCACACGGGTCTGACGACATCAAATTGAATGTATTTCTACGAAACGGAACTATGTGCATTGTGACGTGAGCCTTGTAATGCATATATTCTTATTGGTCTCAGGGCTCGTGTCTTAATGCACATAGTTCCGTTTGACAGAAATGCGTCCAAATTACAAGTCAGACTGCTGTGTAAATGAGGCCACCAGGGTATCCCTGCATACAGAGAGGTCTGCGGCCAGCCTTTAAACTAATGCCCCGATTAATCTTGTGGGACTCTCAGTCCACGGAGGGATCATCAAGAAGGTCACCAATTCATGATCGGCCACAACGACCCATCCCTCGGTTGCAACGAAGCGCTTCTGATATCTCATAACGCTATTTGTGGTGACGTCACCGTAGATATTCCCCGTTATATCGAATTAAGTCCAAACAATAACAATTACAGCGGACTGATTATTGAAATTGATGGACAAAGCTATAGACAAAGCAGACATAGGGAGTATGGAGCGATCCTGTTGGTTGAAATGTGTGGTTCTTATAGACTAAGGGAGAATATGATAGACAAACTGTCGGGTCTCTCGTGGGTTGCCGTTAGTTAGTCTATTGCCTACCTCCTTTGTCTATTGCAACCACCCGCTTCCACCAATAGGATCCCTCCATATCTCTTTTGTCTCCTTTGTCTATAGCTTTGTCTATCAATTTCAATAATCGGTCCGCAGGACCTCTTTGATGCTACCAATGAGAGTTAATCGATATGAATCGATTGTATGTGTCGTGGACTAATAGCGTTTATTTCAGACGAAGGATGATGGCATCGGGACTGAGGAGAAGCCGACTCAAGGTTGCCAGATTGTGTAAAATAGGTATATTTCATTAGAGTACCTGTATAGCGAGAGTATAGACGGATGTGAAATTCCGAAAATCCATCAGGCCTTCACCGATGCCTCTGCGAATAAAGTTAAGGTCCAGTTACACGATCAAATTTAGCCATCAAATTGCCATCAAAGCCTCTCATTGGTCGCATTCTGAATGAGACCAATGAGAGGCCCAATTTGATGGCTCAATTTGATCGTGTAACTGGACCTTTAGGGCCCAGAAATGCAGCCAACCTATGAATTTCAATTATCCTGAGCGATTTACTAGTACAATTATTACGAACCATCGTTTTTAAAGCACGTATTTGACTTAATTTTTGCTTAAATTTACTTATTTTTGCGGAAGAACGCTCATTTATGTACATTCTGAGCCATCTTGGTTAAAATTATTGGCATCTGCAGACTGGCAGTGAAATTTTGTGCGTTAGAAGTTGGTTAGCGGGGTGGCTTCTCTTTTGGGCCCTAAGCCCTCTTCCATGAAGCGATCTGTCCATACTCTCGCTATATAGGTACTCTATATTTGATATGAGTTGTATGGGGAAGAGTGCTGAATTTTCAGCACAATCTGACAACTGTGAGCCGACTAGAGCATTTGAATAATAATTTCAGACAGAAGATCGTAACAACAATTCAATGTTGCCAGATTTCCCGTCGCAAAATGCATTTTTCTTTAGAGAATCTTGGGCATTTCTGAATAAAAATTTAACTGATTTTCCTTCTGATCTCATGCAAAAATCAGACAAATCTTGGAAAAAAATTGCACGGGTACCTCATTGTCGAAATTGAATTGTTTGAGTCAATTTTGCAACCTTGGAATGGAGTTACGTTCCTTCGTTCGGGAAACGACGAATTGTATGGGACCCTGGAGTTCTGTCCCGTAGTTACTGGTGGACGAAACAAGAGCATTGAAGCTAAATTTGGTCGTTTTAGTTTCCTTAGGCGTTGAATACTTCCTGCTCAAGGACTCGAAAGATTCAAAATGTCAAGGTCGTATCCATAGTCGTTTCTTACACATCTTTTTCCTTTCGTAAGCCCCATACGGTTTACATTGCGCCTCAGAGGAGGCATTTTGGAAGGACAATTTTAACTAAACTCGAGCAATTTAAACATTGTAACTTCGGCAATTGGACGTATTTCTATCAAACGGAACTATGTGCATTAAGACATGAGCCCTGAGACCCATAAGAATATGTGCTGAACAGAGCTCACGTCATAATGCACATAGTTCCGTTTGATAGAATCCAATTGTTCCACTACAATCCATTGCAAGGGATAATAAGAATTCGCCGCTGGAAGGGGGGGGGGGAATGCGGAAGGCAAAATTCTATGATTCTGAAAAGATTTCAGGTCGATACGAACCCTGACACAAGAGTGTTAAAAGGGGGAGGGGGGGTCAAAAAAATCGAAAAATGCATCACGTAATTTAGGGACGGCACCACTAGGCGAAGGCCCGAAATTGCTAATAAACATAGTTTTTTCAGTGCTTAGTTTTTGCAAATTAGACTGGAAGTTTTCAGAGAGTAAAAGCTCAGCAAAAGCACAACAATTTTACGATGAACCGGCATCGTTGCGGTGGAATTTCTCCCTCCGTCGGACTCATCTCTGACCTCGCCGCACGTAATTAAGCGGCACATGGTGCGGCTGTCCCTCCGTGCTAAGAAAAAACGCCGCAAGTGCCTGCCAGCGTTGCCAAAATGTCCTTTCATAAATCACGCATTTTGTAGGAAATTAATGTATATTTTCCACCAAATTTTGCAAATTATTCTCCACACAATTTCATCTAAAATATCAGAAAATTTCAAGGTAAAATATACTGAAGTAACCTCAAAAATACACGTTTCATTCGAGAAGATCTGGCAACTCTTGAATGGTCATACGGCGTTTTTCCTTAGCACGGCAGTGTTGATCTCTCTCAGTTGCGGAAAAGCTATTCACGGATTTTCGACCAGGCGGCGACTATAAAAGCACCTCTCAAGTCGTCGCCGCCCTGATGTAAGGGCGTATCGCGATTTCTGCTTGAGACCCAAAAATCATAGATTTATATGTAAAACAGGGCTCTCGTTGCAATTGAGAAACGCCTTTACGTCAGAAGGCCGACGTGGTGAGAATCTCATTTAAATTTATAAGAATCTGGAGTGAGAAGACCCGGTGTCTTTATCCAGCACGTAAACTGGATATATGATACGCCCTCGCGAAAATTCTCACCGCAAGAAGGGAGGCAGTTGGCGGATCTTTACACATTCGCGAATACAAGATCCTATGAATTATTTTGCAGTCNATGGGAGAATTCGCAACTTTACCACGTAATATAAAAAAACCTGGGCCATATTTTCAAAATCTGAAAAGAGTTGGCTTATCTAGAGACAATTGCCCGTCAATAGCCGCAAAAATCATGAAAATCGGCCCGGTAGAACGCTGGAACTAAGCGTCACCAGTTTCGCAAAATTAGGAGGTCTTGGAGCTTATAGTATAGATGGCATTTTTATTAATGCTCCCACACACTTCAAACAAAGTTGTACAATTTACGGACGTCTTTAAAGAGAGGCTCTACATTCACGTCGCCACTTTTTCTCTGCCCTCAAAGAATTATAGTTATGTTTATCACGTGTGCTCACTGAAGTGCATAGTGATTCTTCCATCTTCTGATGCACACCCTAGCCGTTGCCAAATTTCGCATAAAATGACTATGTGAGATGAAGATATAGAGAAATAATCATCGAGGAAAAGTGTGAAAAATAGGTAGCACGTCAAAACTGCCGTCCAAAGTATAAACGCTGCATCTCTATTCGACACTTGTTCAATTTTTTCTGACAAGATGCTGCTTTACAAAAAACCTAAGAAATATTCATCCTTCATTTTTCCGATACATCTCTGGCACACCATTAGGAACTCAAAATGAAAAAAACGAGGCCTTAGGGAAATTGAATTCTCTTCTAATATTGCCGTGCTAAGGACTAACGGTGTATGAGCATTCAAATGTTGCCAAATTTCCTTTAAGAAAATATTCATTTTTCAAGAAAGCTATGAATATTTTTCTTTGACATTTTCCGAATTTTTAGATCAAATTATGAATGAAATCCTCTGAACAATCGGAAGAGATATATTAAAAAATGTTCCTATAAAGTCGTGATTTTTTATAGGTCATGGTCAGTAACGCCTGATGGCCCATACGGCGTTCTTCCTAAGCACGGCAGAATAGGGCAGAACGTGCTGGAAAAAAGTGAAACAATTGGACTGCATTTTGCAATTTGGACCTATAAATTCTGGCTCATCTGAAAAAACACTAATGTGCATAGGGAAACTAATGGCACATACGTTGTTTTAAAACTGGGCCAGAATTTATAGGTCCAAATTGCAAAATGCAGTCCAATTGGAGTGGAATTACGGCGTTTTTGCTGAGGACGGCAGAAACAGTGGCGTGGCGTGAATTGCGATGTATCGATTGTTATGCCATTTAAACCTATGGTAAAGAATCGATTATTAAGGCGTTCGCTGCGAACACCCTAATAATCGATCTTTTTTCATAGGTTTAAATGGCATAACAATCGATATATCGCAATTCACGCCACGCCACTGGGCAGAAAACTTGGCTGAGTCGATCAGAACCCTAAAAAAGTGTAAGGATGAAAAAGCACGGAATCAGAAATGGATGAATGTGTTTACTCACAGTATGTATCTAACATCAACTTATCGATGGTGTCTTGTTTAAGTTTTGAATTCCGTTTCCCCATGTCGGCGGCTGTGTTTCAGTTATGAGCGTCTCGTGTGCATGTCTAGCGATACTCCTGTAACAAAAATCATTCAGTTTTGTGAGGGTGTGCGAAATTTTCGCATTTGATCGCGATGAAGTTAGTGGTAAGGAAGAAATTATAGGTACACAGGCTGGTATGAAACGTAAGAGACAACCAAGGGTGTCACTAACGCAGTGGATGACGTCAAAACCCCGACTTTTCAAAGGGCGATAACTCGGTTAATACTGAACGTAGAAAGTTGCGGTTTGAACAGATTTTAATACTTTTGGCTAATCTGGTAGAATCAAGCATCAAAATACGATTCTGTGACCAGCGCATTTGACCCATTCTGACTTCGAGAAAGAGATACAATAACCGAGCAATTGTTTTTCGACCCAAACGGAGAGTAAAGTTTAAAAACTAAGAAAAAGTTAGGTTAGGTTAATACTGAACGTAGAAAGTTGCGGTTTGGACAGATTTTAATATTTTTGGCTAATCTACCAGAATCAAGCATCAAAATACGATTCTGTGACCAGCGCATTTGACCCATTCTGACCTCGAGAAAGAGATACAATGACCGAGCAATACTTTCCCGACCCAAACGGGGAGTAAAGTTTAAAAACTAAGAAAAAGTTTTATTTAAGCGAGCGCGAGGCCCAAAGAATAAGATCGATTTAAAATCCTAACGTACGACACGTCCAAACAAAACACTTTGCTCCGCATTCGAGCAACGTGACCGCAATATAGAAACACCGGAGCTCAATATACTTCAACCTTAAATCCATCGGGGTTGCTCCCTAATCTGAACACAGATTTTCCCGCGGTTCACTATTTGGATACACCCCAAGAATCGATATCAGAATGCCGACAAGCGTGTAAAGACAGGAGATAATCGAAAAATTGCGTGCCTGTCTTGTCAGTCTTCAATTAAAATCCGGGACTTGCCTCCCTTGTCCCTCGTCCTGCCTTGCTAAGGAAGAACACCGTATGAACATTTGAGAGTTGCCAAATCTTCCTCGATAAATTGTTAATTTTTCAGGAAATTTACGAAAATTTTCCCTTAAAATTTTCAGGACTTCTCGGTGGAATTGCGAGCAAAATTATCTGAAAAATTGGGAGGAAAATATTTATAAGTCTACCAGGAAATGTGTGTCTTATTAAAGGAAATTTGGCAACGCCTGAAGGTGCATGCGGCGTTTTTCCTCAGCACGGCAGTACCTGTGGACATGAAAACACTTTCTTCGGTGAATACTTTCTCCTTTCCTGTTTCTTTTGTAATGATTTAAAGAGGTCATATTTTCAAGCGTGAAAATAAGTCGATTCATGACGAAGGACAATGAAGTGTATGGTTGTTGCGCTGTAAACTGAGTGAAACTAGAGAGCCTATATGGACGGAATATCGACGGTGTAAGTTGGCAACCACGTATCTTCCTGACGTAGTTTATTTTTTAAACGGAAAACTCCTGAGCGGCAATTCTTTAAAACTGCCGTGATTTTTCCTCTTTGTGCGAAGAAAATTCTGCACGAGAATCAAGGAATTATGTCAATTTGTTCTCCTTTAAAAAAATAGCATAGACACCGAGATTTTTAGACACCGCAAACGAGATATGTGATTGCCGACTTACATCGTCGATATGGTCATGCGTGTTGTGTGCCAGTTTTGGTTGGTTGCCAAAAATAGGCTGATACGGTGCGCTTACGGCCGTAAGTGAACAAATCCAGATTCGAGTTTGTAAAATTGATTAAGGAACATCTTAATCATTCTTAATCAGGCAATCCCAAAAAAACGTGTTTATGAATTGTCAACGGGGCACAGGAGTAAAATCGCCCGATGAAAAACTCCTTTACTGGAACGGTTATGCAATATGAGCTCCTTGAAGTTAATATAGTTGCTTGTAGCGCTTGCGGATGTTTCTGGTGTGGCATGGAACTTACGAATGCTTTCCTAAACCTTGACCTCGGAATGACTTGAAAGCACGTATTATATGATCAGAATTGATTATTACAATGACGTATTGTGTTTTTCCTTTAATTTCTTCATTTTTTAAAAAAATCACCATTTATGCGTTCATTAATTTTGACTCAAAATAATCGGAAATGTTTGTAGTTCAAGCTGATTTAGGATCATTGAATTTAAATCAACATTATGATTTAACTGTCGCAACTGTTTAAGATAAATCATCTAGTTCTTGATTAAAACGTCGCAAAGGATTTTCACAAAACGACATTTCCTGAATGCAAACATTAAACCATTACAGATTCGGTATGATTTAACATTTTTGAGAGTTTGATAATGAATTATACACGAAATTTTCCCCTTTGCATCCTCTTTCTAGTGCCACAGATCAAAGTTGCTACACGCAATTTTGTGTATTTCGGTATTAGGGTCTCCTTTCTTGGGGACAATCAATCATAATATCGGAGTATTATTTTTCTTCCTCCTCCCCCATTTATTCTTCCTCTTCTTCTTCTTCGGAGGAGGAGGAATTTGGTGAAGAAGACTCGTGTCAACCCCTCCTGCCAGACTAGATCACTGCGCGCAATCACGACACTTGAATTTTGAATGAACCCCCGGCAGTTCCGACGCACAATCAACAGTCAATGAGAGAGGTCGGATACAATGCGGAGACTTCGAAAGCTTATAACTCTATTTATACACAACTTTGAAGTCTTGAAAGCGGTTTCATTGCACTGAAAAATATATCTCGGTGTATTTACTAAGAAAAGGGTAAAATTACCAAGAATTCAGGGTTCTATTTGATCCCAGTTTATTCTTGGTAAAAGTACCATTTACGGAATTGGTAATTTTACCGAGAAATCTCGGTAAAATTATTGACTTTCTCGGTAATTTTACTGGACCCCGGTAAAAACGCCAATATTTTTTATCGACTGTGGTAGAATTACCGAGATGAAATGGCAAAGTTACCGGGAATTGATTACCAATAAAAGGGGCATTCTTACCTGAAAAAAACAGTAAAAATACCGGTTTGTAGGTAAGCTTACCAGTCTGCCTTGGTAAAATTACCAATGATTGGTAAAAAAAAGTGAGATGGTAAAGGCACCAACGGACCTTGGTAAAAACTCGGAGAATTTTTTTTCAGTGTGGTTTCCTCGTGAACTTTGCTTCTCGAGGCACCTATTAAAATTTAAAATGTGACGAAAGAAACATCTTTTTAGTTAAAAATTCCATGTCCGACCTCTCTGAGTGACTCGATCCACTGTGTGTCGTGTCAATATCTCCCCCCCCCCCCCNATTTCCGTGAAGCTCATACAATCCGCACCCTTTGATCATCGCGTGAGAGTCTCTCACACCTGGTGTAAACATATCCTTCGGGAGTACATTTGAACTTATTTGTGCTAAAAGGAACTATGTTGAGCGCGAGCCCCATGCACATGGGTCCTTTTAGTCCAAGCACGTTCGTTTTAGTTAGCTCTGATTAATCAAAATCGGCTCATAATGGTAGGTTGAATATTTTTTTAATTTAACACGGGAACAAATTTTGCAATGAGAAACTACAATTTCTCGCTGGTGGATGAAGGCACCTATCTGTATAAGAAAAATAATGGCACGTATGTCGTTTCCTCGTTGTAAAACGTAGTTTAAATGTGCACTATCAAGCTAGTGGTCTGTCCAGCAGCGTTATGCAAAAGAGAGCTAGCGATAATTTACAGATTTATGTCAAGAAACCCAGTTTGCACTTTTAACTTTTTTTTTTTATAAAAAAACTCACCTGCGGCGAATTTTTAACTTACGAGCAGTCGGATCTCGAGCATGCGGCCCATCATCGGTGCAACTGACCTAGGTCACTGACCTAACTGACCTGACTGACCCGAGCGGGGTCAGTTGTACCGATGAGTGGGCGCATGCCCAAAATGCGTCTGCTCGTTTATTAAAAAATCGTCGCGAGTGAGTTTTCCCTTAAAAAAAAAAAAAAATAAAATTGATTGATTAATTAGACGTATTTCTGCCGAACGGAACTATGTGCAATATGACGTGATCCCTGTTATGAATATATATATGGGTCTCACGGCTCATGTCTTAATGCACATAGTTCCGTTTGGCAGAAATACGTCCAATTATCTTAACTTGTGCGGAAATATCTCTCCCTCTTCTATAAAACAGTTTGCACCCATAGTAAACACAGGATTACAGTGATTCAAAAATTAAAAGAAAGAAATCGACTTAAAACGATTATAATTATGATTATTTATTTATGACATATGCACGTAGCTGTGTCCATTTCTAGGCCTTGTGACGGGCCAGCCATATTAGGGACTTTGCAGGAAAAACAAAATCAAATCTCTTCTTCTCGATTCGCGATCTTAATGTCATGTGACTTGGTTCATTTTGACGGTATTTTTGAGGCTGTATTGTGTATTGTAACGACTACCACACTTTTATACCCGTGATCATCGCCCCAACGATTATTCGAGCCTCTGCGAGGTGCGAGCGGGAGGTCAAAAGTCAAAACACAAAGGCGGGAGACGAGCACCGCCGCACAATGGATCGAGTCAATAGGAGAAGTCGGACAAAATTTGGGAACTTGAAACGCTTATAACTCCGTTTATACAAAACCATAAGGTTCTAAAAAAAAGTTCTATTGGCTTTCTCGTGAAATTTTCTTCCAGACACACCCCTTAAAGTTGAAAATATAACGAGAGAAATATGAAAATTAACAGTCTTAGTCGAAAATTTCAGGTCCGACCTCCCTATTTAACTCGATCCACCGTGCGCCGGTCGGCAGAGGTTCCCGTTCATTTTTGAGAATCGGTTTTTGGTAGGAGAAGGCTACCAAAATCTGAAAACTTTAAGAGCTTATGACTCCGTTTATACAAAACTTTGAAGTTCTAAAAGTGGTGCCATTGGTTTCCTCGTGAAATTTTCTTCTGGAGGCATCCCTCAAAGTTTAAAATGTGACGAAATAAACATCAAAATTTGCAGTTTTAGTTAAAAATGTCATGTCCGACCTCTCTAATTGACTCGATCCACTATGTGCCGCTGTAACTACCGGTGTGTTCTGCCGCGTTACTGCGGAGAGCAGAAAGGCCCAAAT